AATKWWTTTTTTTTTTTGACAATGCATGTACGTGACCTACCTACCGCAGTCAAAGCATGACCTATAAGCTTGTATCTTGAGAATCCATTCATGAAAAGCAAAAGGGAAAAAAAATCGAAATGTCCTATATTCATTCCATGAGGGACAATTTTAGGCCCTAATCAAAATAGATTCATATAAAATTCTGATCTTTTCCATTTTGCTTTTCATCTTTAATAAAGCTGAGTATATTTTTAGATATTTTATTTTATACTGTTACTGCTTATTTAAACTACAAAAATTTACTTGGCATGAATAACCAGTGCTCACCTGGTACGAATGCTAAACTTTAATTTGCTAATCATATGTAACTATTATCTTGAGCTGTTTGTCTTGAAATCCAAGAAACGTATTCTCTGAAAGAGTATTATATAGGTTTGACTAGAAGCACTKAGCCTTTAGTGTAGTATAATGAGCGGCATTCATGGGTAATGTAAATAAGATAATAATAGTGAATTGTTATTTGTTTTTATGTAAATTTATTTATATATTATATATACTATTTTTTGCAAAAATTCTGAAAATTTCCACAATATAGATAAATAGACAAGTAGTTGGTGCTTCACGAAAAAAAAATTATAAATTAATATTAACAGAAAATAAGCAGTTATCAAAATATTGGCGTCATGCCAATAACAATTTAGTAAAATTAGGCAAAAAAAAAGATTAATCAAAACGTATGCATTCTTTTTTTTTAATATCTTCCTTTTTACTAAAAATTTTCTTTTTCAGAATCTTTGCAAAATGCTAATTATTTATAATATRTATTTTATATACACCTACTTGCAGAAACATCATAGAAAATAGAACATTTGAATTTAATAAAAAGGAACAAGACAAAAGAGAGCGTTCAGCCTCAGTGATTTTCTTTTGTCTTTTTTTAATTTATTTCTTTTTAACTAAATACAAATGTCCTATTTTCTATGACTACAACGTTTCTTCAAGTAGGTGTGTGTGCATTTTAGCAGTATGTATACTGAAGTGGATCCATGATTCTCGTCAAGGGTGGGTCGGGCTAAAAAAATACAAAAACTGTRAAAGTGCATGATTTCACAAGGGATCCCACRCCCCTACGACCATCATCTGGATYCGCCCTTATGTGCATATCTAATTATTGTTTTATTTTTTATATTCTTATTCGCAGCACTTAATAATTTATTTAGCTGAAAATGTGCAATTTTWTATTTACTCTGAGTTAAAAAAAACGTTCGTTTGAAAAACATTGTGTCTTTGATCGAAGCCAAAACTGAACGTTAGC